AGGGAGAGGATTTTTTTGGGACCGGAATAATTGATGTGGCTTTAAAGCACGTGGGGACCACAGCCTGGATAAGTGATGTGTTGAAGATGTCTGTGAAGACATCAGTTAGTTCCACTGCACAGTCTCTCAGTGCCCGGCCAGGAATATTATCAGGACCCGGAGCTTTACGTGCATTGATCCTGCTAAGGGATCTCCTTACGCTGTCTGGGGACAGAGTCATCAACTGGTCACCAGGAGGAGGTGGAATCTTCTGTGCTGTGGTGCCGTTTTGCACTTCAAAGCGAGCAAAAAAGCGAGTCACATGCTAGGTGAAGATTAGATCAACTAAAAGCTGTTCAAGGGGAAAAGGCCAGGTCATAGGTCATCACAGCCTTGGCAATGGGAGATAGGACAGGAAGCAGATGGGGCAAAGTGACACCCATCTTATCTGGAACATGAGGAATGTCAGTTACCAAGGAAACTGGCATCAATAAAGTTTGAGGAGGTGCCAAGAGGAGACTTTTGCAGCAGGATAGGAGAGTAAAAGCTGTGCATTTTGTAAGAAGAGATCAGATTTGTCATAAGGACTGGAAGGTGATAGAACCTTCCCTAAATGCATTTGGGTAAATAAGATGTGGGTGATTGATACAAGGCGACTGGCGGCTTACGTCTGATTAGAGATCACCTTCTAATAAAGGTGGAAAAACTTTCTGAGGAGTTACAGAAGACCAGACACATCATTTTTTTGACAAAATTTTTCCTTTAATAACACTCATCAATATTTTTTCCACAACACTACCTACAACAAACTTTCTCGTTCAGCACTTTCAAAGTGTTGGAGTCTATGGAACAAACGTGGAAGATCCCCCACAGCTGCAGAGATGATTGCAAACTCCAGCTCTTGAGGCCAAGCTAGGCAAGGTAGAATTCTCTTGTCAGGATCATGAGAACAAGGAGGAGGAGTCATCACAGCTGTGTGTGGAGCACTAAAAATTCTAATGTAAGTGCCGTACCACTTCACTTTTCTAGCTTAGTGACTGTAATGTAGCTATACAGTTTATTATTACATATTTGTGCATGTATGTGAACAGAAATGAGAGGGAGGGAGGAAATAAAGAAAGCTAGGAGGCGGGTTTCTGGTGCCGAGAGATCGTACATCGTCCTCACAGTTCTTTATAGCAGGCAGGGGGTCATGGTGCGTTCCAGTTGTCCTCAGAGCTTGTTAGCCAGAAATAGTTATATTGGTTATATAGTTTGGCAGGGATTTTATCAACAACCCAGTGCTTGCAGCCAGAGAAAAATAGACAAATAAACCTGCCAAATCTCCAATAAAACATACATACAGTAGGAGAAACTGGACGCCAACTCAACACACGAACAATAGAACATAGAAAGGAGTGTGAGAAAGAGGCAAGTCGAAAACACACGAGAGCAGCAAAAGAAGAAGCAGAAAGTACAATAAAGAAGTCAGCCGTAACAGATCACTGCATAAGGGAAAACCATATAATGGACTGGGACAACACAAGGATCGTGAACACCGAACAACAAAAATACAAAAGATGGATTAAAGAAGCAATCGAGATAAGGAGACGTGGATGTGACGTGGATGTGGGACCATGAACAGGGACGATGGAGTTTACACGTTGAACCACGCATGGGACTGTATCGTCGGAGAGGGGAGAGCGGGCAGCAGAGGGCGACAACGTCCTCTGCAGCCCGCGGATAAACGGGGAAGGAAGTGATGCCACCATCAGCGTCAGCCTGAGGAAGTCTGCAGCCGCAGACGAAACGTAGCAACAAAACAGGTAACAAAACTGTTTCTGTGTGTATCTGTTAGCGGCCTGGCAGACAGAGAGGGCGGAGCTGCTAACAAATACACACACACATACAGACTCAAAATGACATTGTAACATCATATGGTACCAGCTGACGTCATATTATACTTCTTAGCCATTAGCAATGGCAGATTTAAATTTGAATGCAGTGCAGAGTTTTTACCTGAAGAGGGCACAACACTGATAGTTTTAGATAGAATATTTAAATTTTAACTAAGATGCACTAAAGTGCCAAATTATTGACTACATATATCTACAGCATGATCAGATACTCATTTATATAGTATATCAGTAAAATACTGTTGATTTGGGTGTGATTTGCTCTTTAAAGTATGCATGCCTTTACAATGCTAACAGCAGTGACAGGTTAAAGCTTTAAATTATGGAATAAAAACACTTTAGTAAGTAATGTTTTATTTTGTACACTAAAACAGCACAATTATAGCCCAAGTTCATGTTAGCAAGTTATTACAGAGACAGAAGCAGAAATAATAAAGTCAGACACATTTGTGACATTAAATCAAGGAGCAAACTCGGCCGCCAAATCTGAATTCAACCAGGAAGTGACAACAGTTGTGGTTCCCCTCTCATCCACTAGGGGCTGCGCTAGAATGAAGTTCTCATTGATTCTCATGTTAAAAATGCCAACATCTCAAGTTCTCCAGGAGAGCATACGTAGAGTCCAAGACCCTATGTGACAAACACATCACACACTCCCACCCTCATGCTCACACATAAACACATTCAACCTAAAGACCCACAAGAGCCACTTACACACTAGCTTTGGCTCCACTCCGCTCCACCTGCCCCTGCCCAGCCATGTTCGTTCTGCCTTAGGAACACGGACGTGATTTAGCACGAGCGCACGTGGGCGGAGCAAAAAAGCACAAAGTCTGCAGTGTGTCTCCATTAATAAACAAAAGCACCCTGAGCAGTCTTGCTTTTGGAGTCTAGCAACACTGTGTGTGTGTGTGTGTGTGTGTGTGTGTGTGTGTGTGTGTGTGTGTGTGTGTGTGTGTGTGTGTGTGTGTGAGAGAGAGAGAGAGAGAGAGCCTCACAGAAAGACAAAGAAAAATGGCTTCAGTCAGACGTTCCTTAACTCCACAGAATCCAGAATGATAAAGAATCGCACATGCGGAAAGCCCCCCACGGGCTGATTCTGCCTGCCATTCACAGGCTCCTCCTAATGGTAGGCATGCTTTCAAGCCGGCCAGTCAGTCAGCAGTGGGCATGTTGGACCAGTTGAGCTCCAGGCAGACCTCCTTGTGAAGAGGGCTGAACATCCAAAGCTACCTAAATTAGAACACTCCCCACCCAGTCCAGGTGAAGTGGAGCTGATGCTAGTGTGTAAGGGCCATAGAATGTACATCACACACCCACTCCTGCTTTCTCTACACACCCTGCTTACTCTGGTCCCAGTACTGCTTCACAGAGCCAGTCCCGAACACCAGAGATGGTCCCATTCTTACTGGGGTAATTATAAGCAGGCAATCCCGCCCAACGCAGAGCAAAGTTACCCACCACCCCAGACCCCAACCAGATGGCCAGTTTCGACTCCTAGCCTCCAGGCCTGGGCAGTGAACCGAGAACAGAGGTGTGAGAAGTCCTCTAACTCCGGGTTTTCTCAAATAGGTCTTAGCTACCACTGTTTGCTCCTAGCTCTGTGTTTGCTTTGGGTTAGCTCAGTTAGCCTGTAGCTACATCAGTTCAGAGTTTGATGGGTGTTAATCATTTACTTCCACCTTCACAGGGTGATTATCAGGTTTCTGCAGAGCTTGATGATTTGCTGCACAGTTGATTCTACCACTTAATCAAGTGTGTTGGAGCAGAAAAACCACAAAACCTGCTGGATACTGGCCTTCCAGGACCAGGTTTGGGCATCTCTGCCCTAAAGCATCAGAAACAAAGTTTAGCGTTATTAAAAAATTACAGAATGACCTTGTGAAAAAAATATGACCTTATAATATATATATATATATATATATATATATATATATATTAGGGATGAGCGAATACACCACTCTCTGTATCTGTATCTGTTCAACCAACTAAATTATCTGTATCTGTATCTGTACTCGGAATGGCCGTGGCACAACCCGGAAGTGGGCGTGGTTTACATCAATACATTATTTTAAGTCTGAAATTGATATGGATTGATCAGAAGTTGATATGTGTATTGTTTATTTGAAAACTATTTACAGAGCAGCCTCAGAATTGAGATTAAATATTTTTGATCACAATAGTAAAGGAACTATTTCAGAACAAGTGTTTCAATAAAATCAGAACATTAATATTGAAGTGCATGGATTAATACATCTGAACTCATGCAGTAGGAACTAGGAAATATGAAATGCTAGAACCAGACAGAATTTTATGTATATTTTTTTAACGTTCTTGGCATTTTGCCACACACAAAGTTAAACAAAGCAATGTTGATTAAGGTGTGTGTGTCTGAGAGAGATAGAGAGGGTGAGAGGGAGAGAGATGAAGTTAAAAAAATGAAAAACCCGACCGCAGCGGAGGTAGTGAGTTAATGCAGCACGTCAGCTCTGTCTTGTCAAATGCACCATGCAGCGCTGACTGACCATAGGGCATAGCGGGCAACTGCCCGCTGGGCCGACCCTTTCATCTTTTATGGGCCGGTGTCTGTTTTTTTTTTTTTTTTTCCTGGCCTCTAGTTGTTGCGGACAACTTGTCCGCGCCGCCCCACGCGACGCCTCGTAAAAGTTGGTGAATTGGCCAATTGGTAATAATACACTGGGCTGGACCAATAGCCAGAGGTCTGATGCACCCGCCAGTTGTTTGTGAATCTCAGTAAACAGACAGACGAGCTTTACAAAATGGAGAACAAAAAACGGAAAGCAGGAGCGGAGAAAATTCGACTAAAAAAGAAACTGGCCCTTCAGGCTGATGCTGGCACATGTGTTAAAATCTCACAGTTGTTTGGTAGTGAAGGTTCAAGTAAAATCAATTTAGGAAGTGATGGAGCCTCAGCCCAGCGACGGGTTGGAGAAGAAAAGAGGGAGGAGGAGGAGAAACCCGAGCCGGTGTTGTGCCATAAATTGACTCGCTGCCAAAAAATGATTAGCCACCGCGGGATCGCGCACGGTTAGGTAATTGCATTTCTAGACAAAATTCCCCAGGATTTCGCCCTAAAACTCAGCATATCTAGCAATACAGGTTACGGTTTTCACTTTGTCCTTTTTATTTAACATTATTTTGTCATTTTTGGCTTCTTCTGAAAAAGCTACTTAAAATGGTATTTGATTTACTCTAAACATTGTCCCAAACACATCAGTCCTCTTCACCCCAAAAGACATCATCTACTTAAGAAAAATTCACTAATTTCACAAGTTATTGAACTGCTAGTCACCTTCTCTTTTGTTCATGTTTAAAGCCTCCACGTGGCTCTAGGCACTTGGTATCCCAACAGCACATGTAGAAATATCTTCCATGAGAAAAGAGTTAAGATGGATTAGTATAAAATAAATTGTTGGATGCCGGCGACAAAACGCAAAATGTTACGATTTTATGTTCTTCTTTTCCTTGATCTCAATCCTGCTCTTGTTTTCTTTCAAAGGGGGCGTGGCTTAGGGACGTTGGTGCATTTGTGAATTTCAACTCTGAAAAAAGAAGAAAAAGGTAGAAAATTAATTTTCTTTAACATTTTGTAGATTTTCTATGTTTATATTTAGTGTGTGTTGTAACAGGAAACAAATACAAATTATTGTGGTTACTTTTCAATTGTTTGATCAATAATTGATCAAAATGATGCCCATTCAGAACGCTGCTGCTAGAGTCTTAACAAGAACCAGGAGAACTGAACACATCACTCCTGTTCCTAAGTCTCTTCACTGGTTTCCAGTAAACTACAGAATCCATTTAAAAGTACTTCTACTAGTTTATAAATCACTCAATGGCATGGGGCCAGAATACATGCCAGATCTCCTTCAGGTATCTACACCCAGCAGGGCTCTGAGATCCTTAGGAAACAGTCAGCTGGTAGAACCGGGTCAGAACCAAACAGGGTGACGCTGCTTTTAGCTACGATGCTGCTCACAGATGGAATCAGCTTCCTCATGACCTCAGATGTGCCCCAACTCCAGTAACATTCATGTATTCATCAGCCTTTGAATAAATGTTTCTTATGCTGAAGCTTCTGCTCTGTAACTGCTCACCTTAACTTTGCCTTTGGCCTGATTCTTAAATCTGAAATTAATTTGTGTATCTTAGTAATGCTTTCATATTGATTTTGCTGTTCTTGGTCCTGGAAAGCACAAGCTAACTTACCTGTTGGATCTCTGGGCTCCACAACAGTTATACAGAGAAACTGTTGGTTCTTACCGACTCAGTCCACCTTTATGGCTGCCTCGCTCTCCTGAGATCCCTCATTTACCGATGCCACTGTGTGCACGCACACACACACACACACACACACACACACACACACACACACACACACACACACACACACACACACACACACACACACACACACACACACACACACACACACACACATTATCATCATCATCATCATCATCATCATCATCATCATCATCATCATCTTTTATTTATAGAGCACTTTTCACCAACGCTCAGGATGGCCCAAAGTGCTGCACACCACATTAACACAGTTTACATTCAAAACCATTTAAGATCCATGATAAAACAAACATGAGCCATTCATACTGTATTATTAAAAGCTAATCAGAAACGAGAGGGATGTGTGTGTGTTTGTGCCCTTCCTGTCTCTCTTATTGCCAGATCAGAACTTTTGGCGTTAACCTGAATCAGGTGAGGCCTGTAGGACAGATGTTGTTCTGGGTTCTTTTGTTCTCATTTCCCCTTTTAAGAACTGGGTATGGTGTTTTGTTTCTGCTTGGTGTTGCCAGACAGTCATCAGCCTGGGTAATGCTGAGCTCAGCATCCCAGATGTGGTTAATCAGAGTTTTAAAAAAGAGGTTCTTAATTTTCCACATGAAGTTAAGTTGGTTTGGATAAATTTTTACCCCGACAAATGAAATCATAATATTCCCTTTACTCGGGTTATCTCTGTCTAACGTTGAGAATTGTTGCTGATCTAAAAAAAATGAAGCGATAAAAAGGCAACAAAAAGGAATCGTAGTTCTCGTGGAAATGAATCAAGCCATCTCATTCAGTACAAGAACATAATGAAAACCTGGACAGCAACCAGCCCTGGGCTGACTGCAGCTGTTTGTTTTAGCTCTGACGTTGTTTAATATGAAGCAGCAGGGCACAAGTCTGCAGTCAGCTGATGGAGAGCTGCTGTTGTGACACGTTCAACACGCCGAAGACAAGCCTCCACTGAGGCTGCTGTTTTCTGCTCAGTGTTTGGTCCAATAATGTCTCATTCATAAGCACGGCTCACTAGCAGCTTCTGTTAGGGCACCAGAACCCACGCTTACCTAGGTTCATGTGTTTGATAAGAGACCAATTAGTTGTCCAGGAGCGTTCACTGGTTATCTGCATGTTAGTAAGACTTGTCTGAAATGATAAATACCTTCTGCTGATGGTTCTGGGATGGACTCCACCACAGCTGCATCTGCACCTTCTGAAGTTACCAGCGGAGCGTCTTCTGCCACTGCTGGTGAAGGAGCAGGAACTGGCTCAGCTGCAGATTCAGCCTTTACAGGAGGGGCAGTGGTGGCCTCAGGGGGACAGGGTGTATCTGCGGGTGGGACTGGCTGATTGAAGGCTGGGGAGGCCTCTCCTGCTTCCTCAGTGGGAGGCTGAGGCTCATCTTGAGTCATGGCAGCAGATAATGGAGGTATATCTGGAACAGTAGCTACAGCGATAGTGGAGTCTATTATGATCCCAGCAGCACCTGCAGGTGCTGAGGGTTCTGCTAGGGCTGCAGCTTCAGTTGGTTCTGAAGCACCATTTGGTGTCAGAGCTATATCAGGTGCTGACGTCTCTGGAGCTTGTTCCTCTGCTGTTACAGCTTCAGATGGAGCTTCAGCTGGAGTCTCAGCAGCCTCAGGTCGGGCCTCTTCCAGTACCACTGGGGCTCCTGCTGGTTCAACAAGCAACTCCTCAGCAACATTCTCTTCTACACATTTGGGCTGTGAAGGTTCTTCTTTTTCTACAAGAACTTCAAGCCCAGCAGGGGCTTCTCCCTGTTCAGTTTCGACACCCTCTTCTTCCTCTTTGGGGGGACTCACCTCCCCTCCTGCTGCAGCAGCTTCAGGCTCAGCTGAACCTTCTACTGAAGAGGCTAAAGGTTCTGGTTCAAGCTCCTGACAGGTTGCAGGCTCAGCAGAACCTTCTACTGGAGAAGAGGCTAAAGGTTCTGGTTCAAGCTCCTGACAGGCTGCAGGTTCAGGAAGTGTTAGGAGATCTTCCCCAGAACCAAGATCCTCCTGAGCCTCCATGGCCATCAGCACTTCCTCTGCCTCTTCTTCAGATACCAGTCTGAGATCATCCTTCAGAGCAGTCTGCACTGGAAGCTGCATCTGGTCCTCGATGGTTTGAGCTTCTTCTGCTATGATGACATTTTTGACGTCTGTTACCAAAATAAAAACAGAAATCTGGCGTTAAGAACTCACTCGCACACCCTGCACCAATCAGCTGAAAGCTCCACCGTCTGGGATCTGCTGCTCTGGTTGTAATCTTTTCCACAGCGGCTGCATGCTAGTGGATCATCCAACCTTTTCAGCTGCCTGCTGAACAGTTTTGCTTTCATATCTTAATGAAGCACGCAACAAACTTCAGTCAGTTTAAAAAATACTAAAACAAAGACTTTAGATTTGTTGAAAATGTCCTTTTGTTTTTCAGAATGACCAAATTTTGATTTTGTTTCTGTTGTTAAGTATAAATATTTCAAATACAAAATGTCAATTCTAGATTATGTTAAAAATGTGTTTTCATTTGCTGAGTGACCGAGGAACAGCTGCCGTGGGGAACGTCTGATGCTTAAACACACACCTGATAGACAATATGAAAAATAACCGGGGAAAGAAAAAAGCTGCTTTCTTTGTCAGCTACACTGTAAAAACAATTCTATGTGCAAAAATAGCTTGAAATAAAAAATAAAGATGCGTTCATCATATAGTGCAGGAGCAAAGGGATGCAAAAACAATAAGGGCACAAATGCGTGCAGAGAGAAACATCCGCTCATTTCCGGGCTTGAAAATGTGATTTAATGAAGCCCCGAGGACCTGGTCAGAAACAATAAAACACACATGGGTTTTCTTCTCTCATATCAGAACATATGAGAGAAGAGCAAGTCAGGAACTCCATCCCACATTGTCCTGACAGATGCTTTTTTTCAGAGTTCAGGCAGAAACACGGATCTTTGTTCTGAACGAGCCGAACCAGAAGGGTTCAGTCAGCTGAACGGTTCAGACTCTGCAGCTATTTGATTTAATTTGTCTGTCAGACAACATCAAATGAGCTCAGAGTGATGAGTGGAAGGGAATGTTGGTAACCTGTGTGAAAATGAGTCAGTGGAAAAACACAGAACTCACAAACGATGTCTAACAAACTCTTTTTCTTCAATGTTTTTTTTTTTGGCTGTCGCTTTCTAATTTAGCCTTTTGGACTTCTGCTCATCCTGAATTCTCTAATTCCCTGATTTGTATTATTACATTTGACACTACAAAGCTTCCTTTGGCCGGCAACATAAGCAGTGCTGAGAAAATGTGAAGGCTTGTGTCAAGCCAAACACCGCCACTCCAGGCATGTAATACCCATGTGTCAACATGATGTGGCAGCCAACAATGACACAGATCCCAGTCAAAACAGCAGCACGGCTGGCTGGATGCACAGGACGGATGGGGAGGGTGGGAGCAACGCACGGGCCAGACGGGGGATGGGACCAGTGATGGTCTGGATGGCGTACAACTGCCCTCATCCATCCAGTCAGACATGTTTAGAGAGGCGAGTCAGATACACGGGACAATAACCCGTTGCCAGGGTGATGTAAGAGTCTAGAAAGGGACTAAATCTGGCTGGATGGAGACAGACGACCAGATTCTCACGCATAAATACAGAAAACAAACAGATAATAGAAGCATGAAGTTAAACTTTGTGTGTGTGTGTGTGTGTGTGTGTGTGTGTGTGTGCGTGCGTGTGTGTGCGAAAGAAAATTTGTGTCATTTAAGTAAAGGAGTAAGTAATAAAATACTGACAAAATATATGAAAAATGGTTAAACAAGCTAAAATTGATCAAATTCAGCTAAAAGCTAAAATAAGAAGGTGAGTCATCTAAAAGCCACACTAAGAAGAAGCCCTTCAGCAGCCGGCATGCTGCGCTGAGACACAGAAACATGAATGTTACAGAGGTTTTGTTTGTTTTTTGGATTAAAAGAACCACAAAAGATTGAAAGCAAAAGCTGCTGGGATGGTTCAGGTTTGTGCTTCTTCTGTAAAACATGTCACTAAAGTTAATGACAGTAAAATAATGTTATGTAGGTCTGATGAGAATAATCCACACAAGCCAGGATGATTATCATAAAAATGAAATAAATGAATAACAGAGGAGCTGAATTAGCTGGATTACTGAAAAGTCAATGAGTAAAGTAGAAGTAGAGTTAGTAAAATGAATAAATGACTTATTTAAGTATATGGAATTTATTATTTAATAATTTTAGTTGTTTTAGAGTTTTTATCACACACCCCATTAAAGGAAAAAGAACAGCTATCACTGAACTGTGTTTAGTAAAAGTAAATCTAAAACCATGACCATGCTTTGTGGTTTAACAGAAATATTTTAAACAATGAAGTTCCTAAAAACTGTGCTGAACACTTGGAGGAGTCTCGGATGTCTGCACCTGCTGACAGGTGTTTCAACCCTCAGCTCGTTAGTGAAGCGTTCAAACTTTTCTGGGACGGATTTGTTTGAATTATTCTTTTCATCCACAATTCAAAGCAAAGTTTTGTTTCAAGATTCAAGAACAGTTTTTTTCTCAAGTGTTCACCACTCTGAATGCACACATGCACCAAAACCTTTGTATACAATAATCTAGCTGTAATTATTTACTTTCTGATGCCAGCTGTGTTTATGGTGCTTTTATTTATCCTGGGATTTTTCCTTTTTCTTCACTCGTGTAAATATGAGGACCAGGACCTTTGCCGGTTCGTTGTGCCGGCGGCACTTCCTGTTGTTGAACACTGGTAGTAGAGCTTTCTAATTGTAATTATTTTGCCTAATTATAATTTAGGTATTTTCTGTTTGCTATATTTTGAGTTTCTTTCAGTGACTTTTGTGAATTTTGTCTTTTTATGATGGAAACATATGAATAAATGTGAGGATTACTGCATAAACATGGCTCACATCTTAATGTAAAGCCCTAGAGAGGATTTGTTTTCACAGTACTGTATAGAAGCCAACGATAAAGGTAAAATATCATCAGTCCATGAGTGTAATCTAGTGCTTTTTGGCTGCTTTAAGATGGTCAAAATGTGAAAGTTGAAATGTTTCAATAAAAAGTAGAAAATCACTCATCTGGGCTAAGCCCCGGACCTTTTTCGTTCCTAACTCCGCCCCTGTCTGTACCTTTAGATAATCTGTGGATTATACTCAGAGTTATCAGTTAGAAGCTCATTCTGGAGGAGAACATTCACCCAGGTGATCATCACTCACCCACAGTGTCCCCGCTGCCGTCCTCAGGCTTTGTGCCTGGTCTTTTCTCCTGATCAACAGTCTGTGCACTGGAAGATGAACACCCCATTGGAAACAAAACGATGAGACCAGTTTAAAATCTTAAAAGCAGAACCAGTAACTGGAGCAAGCTAACACCAAACACAGGTGTCTGTTGTAGGGACAGAAACAAATATGAGAAAACTAAAATCTCCACTAATCCTCAAAGTAAACAGGAACCATGGTCTCTCCTGGTGAGTGTTGATGTAGTCCTGCTGCTGTGTGCCCCAGACACAAGTCTGTTCCCAGCATGCAGCAGAGCCATCCTCCTGACTGCCTGATACTCTCAGTCAGGAGGAGGTGGCAAACAGTCAGTCCTCCCATTCAAGGTCTGTCTGCATGAGATCAGCCATCTAGTGGTAATAACTTGAACTGCACAGCTATGATGTTAGATTATATCCTGATGAAGAGTAATGGTGCTGGTTCTACTGGATCTAAGTGCTGCCTTTGATACTGTAGACCGCACCATTCCTTCAACACGCCTAAACGAAAATGGCCACTCTGGTTCACATCTATACCTCACAGATAGGACTTTTATGGTGAGTTTAGATACCTGTTCCTCTGGGGTTCATAGGATTACATGTGGTGTGCCTCAGGGTTCAATTTTAGGCCCAGCACTTTTTAACCTTCATAAGCTCCCTCTTGGTTATGTCATCAGGAGATATGGTGTGAACTTTCAGTTATAGTGATGATAATCTGCTGTACATCTCCGTGTCTCCTGAAGACAAACGGCCACTTTTTAACTGAATTTTAGACATCAAATCCTGGATGGCTGAAAAATTCTCCAGCGCAGTCAGGACAAATCTGAAGTTTTAGTTATCGGCCCTGAGGCTCAGAGAGTGAAACTTTTACCAACATTACAATCATTGTCTTCTAATCCCTCTAAACTGGGTGTGATTTTTGAGCGGTCTTTCATATCTCACTTCAGAAACATCACTAAAATAGGTTTTATCATCTAAAGAACATTGCCAGAGTCCGCCCCTTCCTCCCTCAAGCTGATATGGAGACGCTGATGCATGCTTTTATCACCATTAGAGTAGACTACTGTAGCATTAATGATTAGCTACATATTTATTAAATGATCAATACGATGTGATGTTCCATATAAATGTGAAATATCAATCTGATTGGTCTTTGAATGTTTTTTCAGAAGACTTGAGTTTCTTTGACTTATTCAGGGACCATCAGCTTCACATTAATCCAGTCAGAGTCAAGGATATAGTTATAAAAAGGATTTTAATTCTCACTCCTAAACTAATTGATTGTGCATGACAAAGTATGAATGAAATGATGGTTCTACAGATAACATATGATGGATGAAGTGATGGAATGGAAGCTAGATGTTTTAGGAGGAAAGACAGCCCGAGTTGTGAGTTCACCGGATTTCGAGAACACGAGAATCCAGCATCGTAGCTCCCATTGAATTCAGCTTTCACTGGCCACAAGATGCAACCATGTCTGTCTGAGGTGTTGGTGGCCCATAAAAGAGCCGTTGTGTTTGCTATCACTCGCAAGCGTCGCAGAGAGGCTTTGACCTTGGGGTCACAAGAGAGGATGGTTCCAAATACTTACTCACTGGTTGGCTGAACCAGAAGGCAGCTGAGGAACTAACGATCCAGGAAGTGATCCCTGTGCATATTAAATGTTGTTGGGTGTTAACAAAGTCCTCAGAAAGTCACGCCTTCACTCTGATACTCGGGGTTTAACTATTAGTGTGAAGTGAAAATGTTTTTACACATTTATGTGAAGTGAATGTTAAACTTTAATATTAATCTTATGATGTATGAGTATACTGGTAGATTAACTTATTAAACCAACTTTTACGTCCCTCGGCTTCGCTAGGAGCACGATGTGTTTAGGGAGTAAAGAAGATTTTGTACTGGGAATGAAACAAACACTTTTACAGTTCTCTATAAGATATTTATTAAACAAAAACGAAGCTCTAGGCTGAAAAGGGAACAAAAGGGTCATCCAAAACTGGGTATTAATAAACAAAGGAATTTCCCAATAAAGAAAAACGATATCTAATAATAAACTAAAAGCGCAGCACATAGGCTGGAATAAGGCTAGGAATAAGGCTAAACGGCAAACGCAAAACTGCACCAAAAGGGTGAGCAAAGTCTCTCTATAACGAGGACACTCTAACTACTATTAATATTATCAAACACAAAATTACCACTAAGGTTTCAGAACAAACGAAAATACCACTCAGGTAGCGAACGAAGAAATACCACGAACGAACGAAGACTTTAACGTCTGCAAGCGAGGAGAGCTAGAGAGGAGAGCAAACACCTCCGTGCCAACACCCATCTGCACATCTCTCCCAGAATACCTTCAAGAGCTCCCTTTTAACAGGGAAGCTCAATTTTCCTAACAGCCTGCAGCCGTGCAGGCAGCAGACCGAGGGCCTCTTGTGGCCAAAAGTAGACGGTGCACGTCACACCAACAAACACTGATCTGGTGCAGTTTAAGATGAGGATGAATCATTGCATCCTTGATTAAAGCACACATTATCCACACACTTTGGGATCTAACAAGAGATGATTATATGACACTTGTGGAATTATCACGTTTAAAAAAGTCCTTTATGATTCAAGGAAGATTAACTTTATTCAGAGTGAGCGTGCAGAAGGTTTCGTCTTCTGCAAAGATAATGGAATTCAGGAAAAGCACTTATTTGGGTGTATGGTTGTAGATCCTTGCTTTTCTTGTTTGGAGGCAGACAGATGCGATGCGTCCCTGGATGTGTGATGCTGTTTGTGTCTGGAAATGAAACGTTACTTTCTAGTTATTTCTGATGTAAATACTTGGCCTTTGGTTACGTTACACTACTATAATGCCCTGCTTTCTGGTCTTCCCAAAAAGAGCATTTCAGGTTTACAAATTCTACAAAACTCTGCAGCACGTATCCTGATGAACACCAGGAGGCAGGGCACATTACACCAGTTTAGAATTACTGCACTGGCTCCCCGTACGTCTCAGGATGGATTTTAAGGTTCTTCTAATGGTTTTTAAGTGTCTTACTGGTCTTGGGCCTTCTTGTGTCTCAGACCTACTTTTACCATGTGAACCCTCACAGCCTCTCCGCTCCTCTGGCTGCCGTCTCCTGGTCATCCCTAAGATCAGGACACACACTCATGGCAAGGCGGCTTTCCAGTCGCATGGCCCTCACCTCTGGAACAGGCTGGATCTCAGGGCCACAGAGAACGTTCATGGTTTTAAGAGCAGACTCAAACCCCACCTGTCACGATGGGGAGCCAAGAGGAGGTTAGGACCCAAAGATGCAAAGAACCAGACAACACTGAGTGGAGCAATAACGTAAAATCCTTTATTGAGAACAAATCCAAAAAGGCAGGGAGGCAAAAACAAAAAATTAAAAGTCCCAAATAACAAAACCTAGAATATCCAAAACGAGATCTAATTCTAGAGAGGGGAATGAGACAAAGGTGATACAAGACAATGACCCAACAACAGACAGAGGCGCAGACAGGGTTATATACACTGGGACACGATGAGAGGCAGATAGGCTGCAGGCGTATGGGGAGAGAAACCAAGTGAAAGCAATTAACTAATCAAGGAGGAAACTAACATGACCTGAGAGTAAAAACCTAAAGACAAGAAAAGCCAGCAAAAATAACTAATATTCTAAGGGGAAGGAAAACTACCAAAAACCTGTGGGAAAACACACTAAAGAGACTAATTAAATGAAAAGCTGAACCTATAAAAACTGCAGAGGGGTGACTGGGGGAGACCAAAGGAACACAGGACCTGGGAGGGATAATCTGGAGGGCTGCAGACCAGGGGACACATGAGGAACACAAAGAGATACATAAGGGAATTCTTAGAGGTGGATGGAGCACACAAGGAGACACATGAGGGAGACGCAGACGCAGACCATGACAGTGCCCCCCCCCCCCCCCCCCAAGGGGCGGATACCAGACGCCCACAAGACAGAGGACAAACAGAGAAGGGAACCAGGGACCAGGGGAGCCTAGGGAGCCGGCGACAGGGAACCAGGAGCCGGGACCAGGGGAAGCCTAGGGATTGGGGACTCTGGAGGAGGACGACGAGGGGACGAGGTCTCTGCAGGATGACGAGGGGACAAAGTCTCTGCAGGATGACGAGGGGACAAAGTCTCTGCAGGATGACTAGGGGACAAAGTCTCTGCAGGATGACTAGGGGACAAAGTCTCTGCAGGATGACAAGAGGACTAAGTCTCTGCTGGCGAAGGGGACAAAGTCTCTGCTGGTGAAGGGGATAAAGGCTCTGCAGGCGAAGGGGACAAAGCCTCGTGGACGGGCTGGACCAGAGCCTCTTCGACAGGCTGGAGCTGATGACGGTTGTGACCCCGTCGACGAGGAAGGTTCATCGAAGGAGCGGGGATGGCGCCAGTAGAAACAGAGGAGGAGTGACGGCCCACCGGAGAGGATGTGGCAGCGCAGTCAGGAACAGGTGAGGGTATGCTCTGGGATAAAAGGCTTGATGATGTGATTAAGCTTGATGTGGACTGGTGTTTTGGGATTTGATATCCTTATAAATGTAATAGTTTTATTACTTTAAATATTTATACTCCTTATGAATCTCGGGAGAATGAGGTAGAATGTCTTCATAGAGTGGCTTTTATTAATGCTTTTATACAGGACAGTGGCACCTATAGTGTGTATGTTGTGGGGGATATGAATGCACATATTACCGACAATAGTTCTTTGTTTGCTAACCATCGAACCCGGTTTTGTGCAGAGAACAACTTAACTCGTTCAAGTAGAGTTCTGCTACCTGTGGACACTTATACGTACATAAGTGAAGCTTGGCATACCAAGTCATGGCTTGACCATTGTTTCAGCACTGCTGATGGACTTGCAGCTCTGGGGATTATGTGTGTTAAATATTGTTATGCATTAACTGACCCCTAGCCTTTATTGTAAATGTTGAAGAGTTGCCCATATCCGTTGGCTATAACAAAGCTTCTGGTAGCACTGCCCCCTCCAATTGTCTAGATGACGACCCATAAGTGGTGTGTGTGTGTGTGTGTGTGTGTGTGTGTGCGCGCGTGTGTGTGTGTGTGATCAGTAAAGCACTTTGAGTTGCATTCTTTGTGGGAATTGGAAAAGCTCTTTATAAATTAAGTTTGATTGAACTACTTAAAAACAAATGCCACAGAGAAGAAAGGAGCAGATGACTTAAGCAGGTTTATTGTGTACCAACAGGGTGAGGGAAACACCTTTCATTCTAAACTAGGAGCTTTCTTATAATAGGTGTTACAACCCAAGGGGATGGTTCTGATGTTCGGAGTGGTTCTGTCAGAGGTTACAGTGATATTTTGGTTCTGGTGAGTCCCCCCGTTTGTGTTCAGGTCTAGAAGCAGATTCTTCTACATCCTTCATTTCTGTCTCCGTATTGTTGGGCTTTAGAACAACTGAAAATATTTCTGATAGTTGTGATATGAGGTGAGGCATCATAGCTGAAGCTATAGTGCTCCAGCTATGAGAGTAAAACTGCTCCTTGTTTTCAGCACCCGTTGCTCTACAGCCAGACGGGACACGGGGACAGCTGCTTGGGTTACAAACACAACTTGATGTCAGAACTCCTATAGAGGTTGATGCCGTTATATTTATTTACATGGTTACGGCAGAAATCACACCAAGATGTCTGGTGAAAATTATATTTTTCTGGCATAACAAAAAAAAAAAGTCTTCCACGTGAGCTGCTGCAACGTTTTAGAGATTCGAGTCATTTAAAGACAACAGATGAGTTTTGATCACACAAAGTTAATGTTGGCAGAAACTGATTGTAATGTCCAAAATAGCTTTTGTTTAATTCCATTGAATAAAATTATAATGTGATGAAAGGCTGACATGTGTGCAGGGCTAACAGATCATTAGTTAACATATTACAAGCAGCACATGATCCAGCATGAGTGGTTGAGTCCATCAGAGGGAGCATGTCTTCATTTAGGTACGAGCTGGTTCTCCAGAGTCTCCAGCTTCTTCGTCATAGCTTCAAGTAATCATGTTAAAGATTTTGATGAATTGATATGAAAAAACCAAACCAGATCACTCTCCACACAGGAGGCTGCCTGAGGAGATCTTCCAGCTGTGAGAGATGACAGAAAAGGATATTAATCTGAGCCAGGTCCCTCAGCTTCTCCACAACGTGGTCCTGAAACACGATCAAGGTATCACACTGGCAGCGACGTTCATCAGTTGGTGTCTCTGTGAGACATAAATAAATACGTAAGCTAATACATAAACAGTCCCTGTATGGTATGGAAAAGGGAGCTTTAGGTTGTGCTGTCAGGTCCATGTTACAACAGACCAGGAGGGGGCAGTAAAACACTGATTCTATGAAGGAAATAGAATGGAAACCACCTGACCTGAAACTCATCATTCAGATTTCTCAGCTTGGTTCGAAACACCTTTGTTCTCAGTACCTTTACATATCCTGGACTTGAGTTTCCTTGAAACTTCTCCCATTTTCTCAAAATCCTCAGCATAGTAGAGGTGCATCTCATCAGGGTCCGAGGCGATTTCGCTTAGCTCCTGCACTATGGCTTTCCCCACACCCAGGGCAAATATGGTGACCCCTGACAGTGACAGAAAGCAGCTGATTACACGGAGATGCTGTGATTACACACAGATGCATCAGGAGGAGAAGGTGTACCAGAGGTCTTTGCTTTCCTGGCCCACTCAGAAACATCATCCTGGGACCTCCCATCAGTGAATACGATGCCGACTCGTGGGACGTTTGGCCTGGCTCCTTCTTTATCTGAAAAGCTGGACTCAAACATGTGGCGCAAGGCTGAGCCTGTCATGGAGCCCCTGCCCATGTATTGGATCTGGGCCACAGCCTGCTTGATGCCCTGCGCTGTGACATACTGACTCAGGGTGAACTCTGTGCGCACCTTAGTGGAGTACTGGATCAGGCCGACGTGTGTGCCCATCCTGGAGATGTTCAGCGAGTCCACCATGCCGTTTACAAACTGTTTGACCAGTTCAAAGTTGGCTGGGCCCAGACTCTTAGAGCCATCGATCACAAAAACTACATCCATGATGCCGTCATGGCACTCTGTCTCTGTCAGGACAAGAAAATATGCCTTAGTTATTCTTGTTGCTTCTCAACAGATGAAACATAAAATCCTACTTCTGCAGCTTTTTCCTCATCATCATCAGCAGGTTTGAAATCCTCAAAACATGTACAGGTGTAAGAGTCGGAGGTGCCGACACACTGATGCTCACAGCCACACCTGTGACTTTCAGGTGGATAAAACACACAAGATGTTGCTTTTAAGTTTTGTTTTACATGCTTAAGTTCTGCTCAGTCAGAGAACAGATTTAGATTCAAACAGCACACTGATTACATGCTGTAGTTCTTTTTTAAAACACAGAACAGTTTTGTTACCTGTTTTCCCGCTACGTTTCGTTTGCGGCTGCAAACTTCCTCAGGCTGACGCTGATGGTGGCGCGTCACTTCCTTTTCCGTTTATCTGCGGGCAGCAGAGGACATTGTTGCCCTCTGCTGCCCGCTCTCCCCTCTCCGACGATGCAGTCCCATGCGCGGTCCAACGTGTAAACTCCATCGTCCCTGTTCATGGTCCCACATCCACGTCTCCTTATCTCGATTGCTTCTTTTATCCATCCTTTGTATTTTTGTTGTTTGGTGTTTATGATCCTTGTGTTGTCCCAGTCCATTATATGGTTTTCTCTTATGCAGTGATCTGTTACGGCTGACTTCTTTATTGTACTTTCTGCTTCTTCTTTTGCTGCTCTTGTGTGTTTTTGACTTGCCTCTTTCTCGCACTCCTTTCTATGTTCTATTGTTCGTGTGTTGAGTTGGCGTCCGGTTTCTCCTATGTATGTTTAATTGCAGAGTTTGCATGGGATTTCGTAAACGACTCCACATTTAAGTCCAGCTGATATTTTGACTTTTGGGTGTACTAGTCTGTTTCTAACTGTTGTGTATGGTTTTGTTGGTGTGTTTATGTTGTGTTTTTTCATTGTTGCTCTTATTTTATCTGTTATGCCTTTGATGTATGGTAGGGTTATCACTGGTTTTGGTTCTTGTCTTTCTGGGTTTCTGGTTCTTTGCTTTGGTTGTTCTTGCTCTAAGGAGACGTGGATGTGGGACCATGAACAGGGACGATGGAGTTTACACGTTGGACCGCGCATGGGATTGCATCGTCGGAGAGGGGAGAGCGGGCAGCAGAGGGCGACAACGTCCTCTGCTGCCCGCGGATAAACGGAGAAGGAAGTGATGCCACCATCAGCGTCAGCCTGAGGAAGTTTGCAGCCGCAAACAAAATGTTGCGGGAAAACAGGTAAACAAAACTGTTCTGTGTTTTAAAAAAGAACTACAGCATGGAATTAGAGATACGACACAGCAAGGACACACCTAAGAAGCACACTGATTAGCTTCAGAAAGGAATCTGACATGTTGGAAAAACAGAAACACCGAAAACCTCCTATGAAACCTCGGAGTGCAGCAGGATTCACACCGACCTCTAAACTCAGGATTACGTATCACATCCAGACGAGGAAACCTATCTGAAAACACGTTTACACTGAACTTGTTTTCTGATGCTTCTGCAAGTTGGTCCCCTTGGATCACTGTCTGGTATCATTAACTTCACCATCTCTTTGAATGAGTGAAGGATATGGAAGACGCTGCAACTTGAGGATTTAGAAATGTGGCTGAACGGGACAACGAGTCAGTGATACAACTGGTGGAGGGGCTCCTTCGCCAAGAGCTCGCATTACCTGCGGAAACCGAGCATTATTCAAAGCACACACAGAAGTCTTGGAAAGAAACTGCCACCAGGTATATCCCCGAGGTCCGTTGTGGTCATTTCCTTAAATATGAGACCAAAGAGAGCATTCTTGCTAAAGCCTGGAAAAATAAAACAGTAATCAACGGGAGACAGATATTTTTCAACCACGACTTCCCCACTGAAGATTTGAAAAAACGTAAATCGTACTCAGAAATTAAAAAGACTCTGAAAGACAAAATGAAACGCATTCGGATGCACTGAGCAGGATAAGGATCCAGTGGTCGGTCGGGCCCAAAACCTACAACAACTCTGAAAACGCAGCGGGGGACATCAGAAAAGAGGGCTGGAAACCGATGAGCAGCACGTCAACAAAACCTCATTGGTGGAGCGGATCTGCGGAATGTCCTCATGGCAACGCATCGGAGAGAGGCAGGTCACAAACCAGGGGCCCGACGCACCCAAGTCAGGTGAGAGGAAGGCTGCAAGAGTTTAGACGATGAGGAGAAGAAGACGGAGAGAAAGAGGGAGGTGAAGGGTTGCTATGCAACCTGGATGAAACAAAAACTCCAGGTTTTAAGTTAAAGACTACATGTTGGCTGGGTTAGGGATTAGAACCAGGGAAAATGTTCATGTGATGATTCCACTCAATAGGTATTCCTTTATGACTTTTGCCTGCTTGTAGCTCTGCTGTTGGATTCAGCTGCTCCTGCAGCACTTTGGTTGTAAAGCCCTCACATTAAACATCAAACCATTTTATAAAGGTTTACTCCTGTCTTCGGGCTGATTTTCCAGGTCTTCAGGTTCTCATTACAGTTCAGATAACAAGTGATGTTTGTCTGTTCTGATGGGCAGTCTGGAGGCTCTTTATTTTAGTTAGAAGGGGTTTCACTAACGAAGACTTGAAATGGGGGATTACAAGTGTATCCTCCCTCTCTTATAAATAAAACTTCTCTGATGTTTGTGATTAAATGCAAATCAACAGATGGGGCTATTCAGTTGATGATATTTGGACTGGTATGGGAAGGCCTATGTTGAGTACACCCTGGTCCACTATGGGGGGCCCTGTTTAGGAAAAGTCACCCCCCACTCCCACCAACAGGGAGGCAGGGCCCATGGACAGTGAGGTCCAGTTTGTGTGTTTGTTCATACGTTGCTTATGAGAAAACCCTGACTAACAACATTACAGTGGAGGGATCAAGCATTACTTTGAGGGATACAATCAGTGCAGCATAACAATATAATGGTGTCACTGATTATTAATGGCCTATATATTAAGAACATTAATTTAATGTATCTAAATTAAGGAGGGAGAAAACACAGGTGGTTTTTCTTCAAGTAACGCATCTACCACAAGAAGAACATGTTAAGTTTAAAAAGTTGAAATACAGCAATTAATTCTCCAGTTCTATTGGGCATCATCATAAGAGGGGTGTGATGACATTGATCTCCAACACAACTTTGAATTGATTAAAGAAATCAATGACAAAAAAGGAAGATGTTTCATGATAAAGGGGAAATTCGAAAATCAGTGGGTGACACTTCTCGATGTGGATGCCCCTCCGGAAACTGGAAAGGCATTTTACGAAAAGTTTTTGATCTCATAAATTTGAAAACGGAAGAGACATTATTGTGTGGTGGAGATTTAATGTAGCTTGGAATTAAGAGTTAGACACTACAAGCATCAAGAGAAACAACAAAAAAATTAACAGGTACATGAATACGAGGGTTAGGCTTAGGGATAACCCAGTTGACCGGGATTACACCATCACTCGGCTCTATGTAACATGTACTCCAGAACTGATTTTTTTCTAACGAGTAAAAGAAATATTCACAAAGCAAAGGAATGTGAAATAGGTTTGGCCGATGTGTCAGACCAGAGTGCAGTTTATTTTAAAATTTACTTAACTGATGGGAGAAAAAATATGGAAACTCAACGAAAGCGTTCTGAACAATAAAAGACTAATTAAAGAGATAAAGGGGGAAATAATTCGATATCGAGAGGAAAATGATGATGGGGAGGTCGACTTGACCATCTTGTAGGATGCCCTGAAGGCAGTGATTAGAGAGAGACTGATTTCTCACACAGCATTTTTAAAGAAAGTTAGACTTGAAACATACCAGCGGCAAACTGAAAAACTAAAAGAATTTGAACAACAACACAACAGTCAAACGATCCAGAAACATTGAGCCAGATTAAGGAAGTAAGAGAAAAATAGATGATATATTATAGAACAAAGTACAGAGGAAAACAAGGTTTATAACACAGCCCTATTATGAAGGAGGATCTAGGGTTACCAAAGCCCTGGCTAGACGTACAAGGAAACAACAAAGAATGACTAATAGACATAAAATAAGAGACCCTGCAACCGATATAATTCTATATGAACAGAAGAAATTGAAAGAGTATTTGAAAAATATTAAGATAACTTATATTCAATCTATATTTACCAACAATAGGTTCAAAACAGAATGCAACATTGACCGCAGAGATTACAAAGAAAGAGATTACAGAAGCAATCGGGCGAACAAAATCAGGAAAGTCACCAGGAGCTGACGGAATAGGAGCTTCTTCTTATAAAACATTCAAGGAAGAGTTTATCCCACTATACCAGTTCAGACTGACGAGAATGGGGATGATATGACAGCATCTATCAGTGTTTGTGAGGGACCTAGCAGCCGCGTGTTGGACTTTCAATTCAATTGAAATTCAATTCAAATTCAAAAATACTTTATTAATCCCAGAGGGAAATTAGAGTTTCAGTACACACAATTCTGAGATCAGACAAGAATTGGTGACTGTGGTCATTCGCAACCCGAGTCGCGCTACCGTAAGCGTTTGCAGCTGGTTAAGGTAGGAGGCACTTGCCCTGGTCAGAATGAAGTCAGCATAGTCCACGTGAGATATGATGAACGCGTGGATGGCTGCCTCTAGGTGGTGGTCTCTTTGGAATAGGTCTCAGTTGTGTTATGCAGCAAAATTGATCTCATGTTAGTGTTTATTTGGGGCGACCAACCTATAGGGTCTGTGCTTCGACAAACTAGAACTGCTTATTTTTCATCGCTAATTGAGGAGAATAAGAATAATCCTAAATTTCTTGTCAGTACAGTTGCCAAACTTACACAGAATCATAGCTCTGAACCATCTATTCCCTTAGCCCTGAGCAGCAACGACTTTATGGGATTTTTCACAAGTTAAATAAATTCTATTAGAAACAAAATCATTAGCATCCTCCCTAATGTGATTTCTTCTTCCTCAGTAAGTGAGGCAGCATCAGAGGTAACTGTAGAACCTCATCTGTGTTTCAAC